GAATATTTCTGTAGCAGCCCCCTGTGGGGTTCCCACATGCTGTTGGCAGGAGGGTGCTTTCCCCAGGTGTCTGGAGCAGGGGGCTCACCTCGGGCCGTGCAGGCTCCAAGGGACTCCAAGTTTCAGATGACATGTAAGTTGTTCTCATGCCTCCTTGTTTAGAAAGCCTGTGTCCTGCGCCCCAGCCTTAGGCTGAGCAGCAGAGCTGCCCTCTGTCCGTTTGTGGACAGAGACCCAAGGCGGCCAGAGCTGGCAGTGCGCTGCTCTCTCGCTGGCCCCCCTGGAAAGGAGAGCTCATGGATTGAGTGGTTTCTTCCCTAGAATCATTTATTTTGATCCACAGGCCACCCCCTGACCCCTACCCAGGCCTTTCCTCAGAGCCTGGCCTGGCCTTCAGCCCCAGGGGCTAGCCTGGTTCTCCTGAAAGCTGTGGGTGGAACATGGGAAGAGATTGGTCAGGAAGGCCAGCCGGGCGGCCCACGTCAAGCAGTTACACAGCACTGCAGAACCAGACTGGCAGGGCTTCCAGGGAAAGGCAGGATGGACAAAAAGCCTGGGTGCCCTGTTCCAATCCTGAGCCTTCTCTTTGTTCACGCAGATAAGATCCCGAGCCAAAATCGAGAAGATCCGCGCAAGCCTGTTCAACAACAATGACTTGATCGGCTTGTCGAGTTTGGACGGCGAAGACGAGCTGATGGAAATGTCCACGGAGGAGATCCTGACTGTGTCCGTGGTCAATCAGAGTCTGTTTGACACGCAGGGAAGCCCAGGGCTGGAAGATTATTTCAACGATAAGTCAATTAAAGGTAGGTTGCAGATTGTAAAAAGGCTTTTGAAAACGAGTTTGGTGGAGTTAGGGACATGGAGTCAAGCAGCCACAGCCCCCGACAGCGTGCCCCCACCCCACCCCCGGTAGTGTAGGGAGCAGGTTCTCGCCCTCTCCCAGCTGCCTGGCTGAGGAACAGCCCCAGCCACAGCTTGCCGTGACTCCCAGGAATGGCTCCGCCCCAGCCTGCGCCCCGCTGGGACTGGGGTGTTCATCCAGTCCTCCCGCCCCGTGTTAGTGCTCACCCCAAGCAGGGTCTCAGCACCCTGCTGCTGACGCTGTGGAGCACTAGAGGACCGCTCACGCCTCCTCTCACAACCTGATTCTTGGGGACTCCTTCCGAAGTCCTTGTTATCCATCTCTCTTGCCCCAAACTGTTCACTGTGTAGGTGAGAGTTTGCCCAGAAGACTGGCTTTCTGTTCGCCAGTCTACACACACTTTGACTTTTACTCCAATCGGGCGGCTTCCTGCTTCCATGTGTCCTCCTCGCCCTGCCCTTCCTGCCGTCTGTGCCCCTCCTCTTGGTGAAGCTTGGTGGGCTGCTCTGAGAAGTCCAGGCCTCCCCGGGTTTCTGTTCACCCCGAGGTCTGTTTCTCACTTAGCTGGGAGGGAGTCCAGGTCCTGGTTCACAAGGTGAATAAGGGCCATCATCTTGGGGTTCCACCGGTCTCCATGTGACCAGTCAGCACATCCTTTTCAGGGCTGAGTTTTATGCTGCTTCCTGCCCGCTGTCCAGGACCTCCTACTGGGGTCCCGTTCAGAAGGTTCTGTCAGCTGCGGTCGCCGGGCACCATCTAGTTCTTTAGCTCTCGGTGGCGGAAAGCGCAGGGACGTTCTGCTCCCAGAGTAATAGTAGAGTGATCACACCGCACCCAGCTTGCTGGAGGTGGATCCTTACAAGGCTCCCTGGCAAGGGTGTGCATCCTGCGGTCCTGTGTCGTCTGGCCTGGCCTGCTCTTCGTCCCTGCTGTGCCAGGACCCAGGAGAGCAGCGCTACCAGAGCCGGCTGGGAGAACGGGGCAGGAGGAAGATGGGATGGATGAGAAACAATGCATCAGCCCCTCTAGAGGGTGTTAGCGGTGCCTTCAGGAGCGCCTGCACACCCGCCAGCAGCGATTCCACCCGCTAGCCACCTCCCAGACCAGAGCAGAGCTGCTCCCTTGGGTCTCTGAGAATGTAGCTCTCCACAGGCAGACAGCCGCCCCCTCGGTCTCCCTCAGAGCATCAGCGCAGCTGGGAGGTTTGAACACAAGCCTTCAGTCAGCAGCCAGGCCCTTAACCCTCCGTTACTCAGGCCTCTCTCTAGAACACCTGTTTGGGGGCAAAAAGCCCGTTGGTTTTTGCTCACACCGGTGGCCAGCATGCTTGCAGCTTAGGAAACATTCCCCGTGCCAGCTCACTGTGCTAGCTGTGGAGCAGACTCTCACATGGTCGTCAGGAGCTGAACAGCTCGTCCCCACAGAGGAAAGCTTGCTGGCCACCTAGCCTTCTCTCCTATGGGGCCACCCAACCCCAACATGGTGAGCTGCTGCTGGAGGACAGCCAACAGGGCAGTGACTCCACCTCGGGGATGCCCATCCCATGGGCCGGCACTCCTCTGCTGCAGGAGAGGGGCTGGCTGCGTGAGGAGCAGGGTGGCCCCGCTCCGACGTGGCCTGGCCCCAATACTCTGTAAGGCCTTAAGTTTTATTGCTTACTTAGTAAGTGCTACGCAGAAACTCACAGCCAATTGAAGATTAAAGGATTTGCTACAGACATGAACACGTTGTAATGTCAGTGAGAAACGCTCAGAGTAGTTGTTGACCAGGACGTGTTACAAAGTCTCTGGTCCGCCAATGAGTGCCCAAAGGGGCATGCTGCACCACTGTAAGCCTCAGGCCAAAGGCACTCAGCTCAAGCTCTGCGGGTCAGCAAACCTAGCTCCCTGAAGCAAGTGCCCAGAGGCACCCCACTCTGGTCAGCTCAGCCGGAAGGCACTGGACTCCACTTCCATGGGTCAGCAAGTCCAACTCCCCCAATTAAGTGCCCAGAGGCTCCCCACTCCACAAGCCAGCCTCCTGCACAAAAGCACTCAGCTTACTCACTCCCTGGGTGGGTAAGTCCAGCACTCTGCTCCATGCTCTGGCTCCTGGTTCTGCTGCTGCTCCACTGATGGTATAGCTGTCATCTCGATCCACGAGGTTCACTGCACAGGAATTTTGGGTCCAGGGGACACACTGCACTCCTGACTTGCGGGTAATGAGATCCCTCCTCCTGCTTCTCAGAGGGATTTTATGCACAGCAGGATGGCACTCCAGGGAATCCTGTGGGTCTCTTCCCCAGCCTTCTTACCAGACCTGTGCAGGAAAGGGTCATGTGGTGGGAGTTCAGACTTTGCGACAAGAGCCATATGCTCCTGAAGCTCCTCCTCTCACCCCACAGGGGAGCACATCGGCATAGCTTACCGCAAGGAAGGCTGGGAATATACCAGGCGTGTGCCCAAAGGGGGCAACCCAGGTTTTGACCTCGCTACTGAATGTCTGGTAGTCATGAGGAACAGCTGCCTAATGGGTACAGACTTCCTTTGGGGGGTGAGAATGTTCTGGAACTATACAGAAGTGGCGATTGTACAACCTTATGAATGAACTAAGTGCCCCTGAACGATCCACTGTAGAATGGTTAATAGTCTGTGCCGTGAATTTCACTTCAATTAAAAAGAAAATACATATTCAACAAAGTCCACATGGAAGAAGCACACCAGCCTGTGGGATCCAAGGTTTGCAAAAAATACAGTCCAAATCTGAAGGAGGAAATGGTGTCACTCGTTAAATTGTGAACCCCTGGCTTGCAGACGGCGCTGTGGATGACAGTGGAAGCCTGAAGTCTATTTGCAGGGTCCACACACAGAGGCAGCCCCTGGTGAATCCCCTGTGACCATAGTTGAGGAATGGGGCTAGCCTTGTTACCAGGCTCTGTCACTTAGCATTGGAGGCGGTTAGGG